CATGTTTGAGAATGAGGCATTGTCAGCTGGGTATGATATCATCAACTGGGTCACTTTCCCTAACAAATCTTTCCTTAAGGTCCAGGTCGGAATGATTTCATCAAGCCAAGCATTCACTATTAATGAGAAAGCCATTATGTGGAATGATCGATTTAAAGAGGTAGGAACGAAGTGCTTATTGTGTGTCCCAGCCAAAGGTTTATTTACTACAAAGTAGGTCTTACTTAGTTCAATTGGATTCATTCCCATGTAAGCATAATTAAGGTATCTGTCCAAACACTGTAGCACTGCTATGAGAAAAAACTGTCATTTACATTTCTCAGTAGCTCCATGACCTATATCAGAAATCCTATCGGAGAACTTCCTCTCTTTCAAAAATCCAGCATACAGACAACAACTGTATTTTAAACATACTTTAAAAAGCTGATGATGTTGTGTTGATATTCCTTTGCCCCCCAAGCTGGAATAATGAGGCAGACACAAATGTTGGGTTTAACTATAGGGCCACTTTATTAACTGACAAGTTTAACTGGAACCAAAGGCAAGGGCAACACAGCTTGCGGTATAGTCAAGGCCGGAGGTCGAGGACCCCTCCCTTACCTCTTCAAAAGGGCGAGCCACCCTGCCCTGGGCAAGAGCCAACTGCAGGGGCTCTCGCCCAGCTGGCTAGCCATTGCAGGACAACCCTGTAGCCCCATCCCCCAAGCCGCAAGGTTCAAAGAGAGGACCTAAACAGGGCCATCCTGAAGGCAGTCCATTTTCCCCGCCCCATGCCGCAAGGCACAAAGACTGTACTCACAGGACCCCTTAAACCCCAAATGAGGGGTGTCAGCTGGTGCTCACCAGACCACAATCTGTATACCACCTAGCAACTCGCCTAAATTGAAAGTGACCAACAGAACTAATACAACCCCCCTTATAAACACCTGCATTACTGCTGCAGTACAGGGTAGGCGAAAACACTCCTCCCAAGTGCCAATCAGGAAGGGGTGAAAAATTCCTACCCGGCCCCGAAAAACTGGGTGACCAGCAAACGCCTGCACTACTAACAGGGCAGGAGGATGGGCCGACGACTGCTCGGGACTGCTGAGGAGGAGAGGTGGGGCCAGGCTTTAAGCCTTCTTGGCCCCACCCTTCCTGATGCCCGTATGTGGCGCTTTTGGCACCCAATTCCCAGCATGCCTCTTCTGGCTGGGAGGCAAGGGCGCCCCCCCCCAGATCAACGACCGGAATGGCCGTGGGCACTTGAATCGTGTTGTTTATAGAGGTATAGAATGAAACTCAGTATGAATGAAGCCAGATTTTAACTTGACACAGATAGATAAGAAGAATTTAATATCTGACTTTGCGTGTACCTGGGAGATTATGGCTGCAATCACACGCGCCTTTGGACCCAACATAGGTGTGAATGCCTGAGAGATCTAAGTGGAGCGATCAGACATCAACATCTGGGAAGCGTCCCACAGTCGTTGGTAACCTGTGCTGCTCTGCTGCAGAAGTGGAGTTAAAAGACACCAGGGAAAGTCCAGCTCTAACAGGTTCTGATGGGTCACAGATGGACTTTCCCCTGTCTGATCGTGCAAGCACACTCTCGTGCCATTGGGATGGTTTGATCATGCCATCCCAGGTCAGTGCTGTTCCCCCCCACCACACACACTCGCAGTATGCACATCATCACATACTCCATCAGGGGCTCTTAGTGCGGAGGCGCAATTCCTAATTTATGTGCATGGGAAACTAATGGCCAAAAAACACCTCAGACTCAGCCACAGCTGCATCTGATCACACAGTAATGGGCTGTGCCTGCAGCTACAAAGGAATGTGTGATCTTGCAACTGCATGTCAAATTCCTCTAGAGAAAATAGTCTCACTTCCTCTCCGCTTCAACTGGCGCATGTGACCACAGCCTATGATAGGAGCTACAACTTGTTGAATTTGGGGCTATCACAATCGTTTACTTCCTGAATGTTCCTGTGCACATAACAAAATGTAAGTGGTAAATGGTAATGATTGCACAATATCCAGTGATGTGTGCAATTCACTACTGCATACAACATTAGCAAAATGCCCACCTAGTGTATGGATGTCTGGCAGACTACCATTGTATTTTTTTTAAACGATTTTATTAAAAGAATAAGTCAAGTATACATAAACAAGATTACTATTTAAACATGAATACAGCCTGTAAGTGCAAATTCATTTAACACAATGCCTTCTATTAACTTGTCAGGAGGAACATCTTATTTTAAAGATGTATCCAATCTGCATAACTAGTATTTGCTGGTAACACACCGTTTTCTGTAAAATATGTTATAAGAGGACTCCATTTTCGATTGAAATTGGCATGGGATCTCGCATATCCTTGTATGTGGAACTCATATTTATCTGCTACTTTATCCATCACATAATGGTCCCAACATTGGTATAACATTTGGAGCTCCTACCCAAACAAATCAAAAGTATTCAATATAAGATTACAATTTTTAAAAATGATTACCAGGTGGTACCTCTCCCCAGACAGATTGAAACATATGTATCCTCAAAGTAACCCAAATTGTTGGAAAGGATGCGGATCCAAAAGTGACATATTTCACTGCTGGTGGACCTGTTCAGAAATTAAAAACTTCTGGTCCCAAGTGTTGAAAGAAATAAAGAAGATCACAAGAGAAGACATCCCACTTGATCCGGCTGTATTGCTTCTTAACTCAAGTTATACTATTGAGGAATCGGAAGTTAAAATTACTGAATTAGCCGCCACATTAATAGCCACAGCACGGCTTGCTATTGCTGCCTCATGGAAAAATCATGATCCTCCTTCTATTGCTCAATGGACTACCATTGTATGTATAGCTTCTGAGGCCTCTGGTTCTGATGTAAACTTTGTGGCCAGGATGTCTTTTAAATATTCTCTTAATCTTTTTTTCAAAAACAGACTTCTTTTTATATAATCCTGAAAGAGCTCTGGTAAATCGTTTTTTGTATATGCAATTTGATCTCCTTTCTTAACACCTGTTATTACTCTCTTTTTTTTCTTTTTCCTTCCTAAGACAGTGCACCAAATGTCTGCCAGGTTTGTTCGCATACTCGAAATGCCTTTGTTTAGAAATTTTAGGGTTTCCCCCCTCTACCTCTTCCCCTTATAACAGTCTCTAGATTTTTTCTACTGTTATCTTAGTTTGTTCTGATTTTTCTCACTTCTTTTTCACAGAAGCTGCTAGTAAACTTTCTTTAATAAAAGCTTTACTTTCTTCCCAAATTGTAGCTGAGGACATTCCTTCTGTATTTGTTTAGTTTAAAGAATTCTTATAGGTCTTATTTGCACTTACTGACTACAACTTCTTGTAGTAAAAGAGCATCATTTAGTCTCCATCTTCCTCTTGATTTTCTATTCCATTGCCAGACTACATCTATGGGATTATGAACTACAAATATATTTGGTTGAATCTCCTCTTTATCTAGATTTATTGTCAAGCTTTTTGATACCCAACACATACTTGTTCTTTAGTATGCTAGATGTCGGTTCAGGGGGGAAAAGATAAAATCTCTACCTTTGAGTGCTTGATCCGCCAGGTATCTTCTAGTTTCAGCATTTCCAAATATTGGAATATGTTTAGGAGTAATTTTCCGTCTTTATTATTCCTTGATCCGTCCTTTGGATCTAGTACTCCGTTCATGTCTCCAAAGACTATTATATCCTCTTGTTAAAATTCTAGAATAATTTGGAAGAAATTATTTTAAAAAATAACTTTAGCCTCATTCAGTGCATATATTGCTGCTATTGTTCATATCTTGCCTTCCAGGAGTCTCATTTTAAAAATTAGGTATCTTCCATTTGGATCTCTTAAATCTTCTAATACATCTTATTGTGGGTTGTTTACATAAATGTCTATTCCACATTTTTTGTTTTGAGCTGAATATACCCTACCTATTTTTTTCAAACAAATATTTAGACTATGTTCATGTTTCTTCTTTTCATGAGTTTCTTGTAGGCATAAAATATCTGTATCTTGCTTTTATGTTGATTAAAAGTTTCCATGAGTTTCGAGGGAGATGTCAGTTCGTTAATATTTACTGATATTATTTTTAATTTATACATTTTGTCCTGAAGTTGTTACCACATCTGATTTATTCTTTTTTGTGTTTGTTTCTTCTTTGGAGTTCTTAGTCTGTGAACTTTACTTTGAGTTACTTGGAGATTTTCCTTCTGTTCCTCTATCAAAAAATCCTCCACTTGCAATTCTTCAGCCAGTTGCTTAGCTTATTCTTCTGTTTTGATTACTTTTTCCTTTTGATAAGTATACCTGTATTCCAAATGATACCCAGGCTCTACCCCCACATCTCCAAGGATTTCCCAACCCAGAACTGCAACCCTAATTTGACTACTAGCAAATTGGAGTAAAGCACTGGGGGAAGATTGGGGAGACATTTTGGTCCTCCTAAAATACCCCCTTTTAATATTTTTATTAATATTTATATAACAATAAAAATTACAACATAGCAACAATATCAATATGAATCATGAAATATACACAACAACTTATTTGAGAAAGATCACTAGGCATGGCAGCTCAAAATTCAAAAGGTTACATACAATAACAGTAACATATATTGGTGTTATACTGTAGAGATCCTTCAGATTGTTCTTAAAACTATATATATTGTTACATATAATTAACTATTTTGTAAAAACGTTGTGGAATTTGGGATCTCGATGTCAAATTAGGTAAAAATGATGCCTCTAGATATGGAAGCCATTTATTCATGTTCCCTGATATCAATTGAAAAGATACTCATACATTTGTGCTGCACATTTATTTCATTTTTTATTATTAGATGGTGCCCAGTTCCAAGTGTGTAGAGAGCTGCAATCTTGGGCACAGCAGAAAAATTAAGAAGGATCAACCAGTTTGTTGCTATGACTGTAGTCCATGCCCAGAAGACATGATTTCTAACAAGACAGGTAAGTAAAATAATGCTGATTTACCTGAGGGTATCTTCCAATATTTGTTTATCCACATCTTTTTTTTAAAAAAATTCATATAGTTTCTCATGTTTCAGAACACCTGAACTACGTATTGGCAGTATTTAAAAAGTGACGTAAACCTTAAGGAGTGTTTGGTTATCAAATGGAAGATGGGCTCTGAGTTCCAGCATGCTCGGGAACAGGATAGAGCTCGGAAATGTCTATGATAAGAGGTTGCAAGGGATTAGGGGTTCTGGTAGACCCCAAATAACTATGTCATGTATAGAAAAGCAAGGAAGCATCTCGTAGTGGGAGACCAGTTGCCTATGAAATTCAGATAATGTGTCCTATTTATTGGTTCTTTGTATCTATTGATAGGTCCACCAGTCACCAATCAGATGCCCTTCAACCCCATCACATGCCAATTGTTTTGCCCTTTCTGTTTCAGAAGGTCAAAAATATTGCCACATAATAGTCAATTAATGTCAAAGACTGACTACCTGAAGGTCCACAAATGTGCCCTTAGCTCTTCTAACAGTAACTGAGATGGCCTTTCAGTGTTTTTAAAGACAGACTCTTTGGGAGTTATCTTATAAAGCTCCCCCCCTCACAACGAACACTATTCATAGATACTCTCCAAGAATATCTGTGGAACACTATAGTTTCAGTGGGTTCCCCTGTTTATTACAGCTCCCATCACGATGGCCTTGTCTGTGCGGGTTCCATTATAACCCAGATTGCATTTTAGGTGGCCAAAGGGGATTCCCTCGTCACTTTTGACCAATGAAAATGCTGGCTGGATGCAATCCTTTGTTAATATAGAGTTACAGAATTTTACAATAGTTTCAGTGGGTTACTGTGCTGACCTTCAGTAGAACTGCTAGATTGGAGTCCAGTAGCACCTTAGAGACCAAGAAGATTTTCAGGGTAGAAGAATGTTATGAGTCTTCTAAGAGTAGATTCTAAGAGTCTATGGAGAACACTCAAGTTTGGATCTCAGTCATTCAGGGTATGTGCCAAATTCCTTATTTGAGTCAACAAATTATAAAAAAAGGAATCCAGCTTACTATTACAAGTGCTGTGCTCAAGTTTCATTTCTGTAGTTACTTTGTCAGCTGTTAAAATTTCCTGTATCATATCATACCAAATATTTATAATATGTGTGAGCCAGTTTTTCCAAAGTTTGACAATTTGAATTTTTGGAGATAAGAGAGTCTTTGGAATCTTTGGAAAATAGGAATTTTATATACACCATAAGGTAAGCATAGTTGGGGAACTGGGTATAAATTGCTATTTTTTCACTATGACACATCCTACCCCACAACTCCAGACATTCTTATAGACAAAGAAACCCCTTTTATATCACTATGGATGAAAGTACTATGAAAGGATCCAACCAACTTTTTTCAAAAAATCTTGCCTAATTCCCATCTTTATTACAACTCCTGTTACACATGGCTTTTGTTCATACAGGTACCCTGATTCCCAGCGTAGCATTTATAGTGGCCTCATTCCCCCCTTTTTTTTTTGCCAGTGCCAACACAGGCTGGATTCAACCTTTAGGTATGCATGACATGTCATTGTGCTAGACAGATAATGGACTGGTTCTTTGGTTTTTCTCCGCCATGTTATACATCAAATCTGTGCAGAGTTGATGTAATAATTCTGTAGCACATAGACAAAAGGCACTGTTTGAAAGATAGTCTATGTATATTGCAAACGGGCTAATTGGAAAGCCCCAGGAAGACTGTGAAAAACATTGCCACACCTAGAAACTAGAAGTCACCCATGATCAAACATCTATCCACATCAAAGGTTTTCTCCCACTTTCTGTTCTCTGTTAACACAGACATTTGTCCACCACTTCAACCAAATTTACCTATCATCAGCATATCTACTACCTCATCCAGAAGTCATGCCCCTATTTGGAAGCCATTTGCTGATCCTGTTTCCTGAAATTTGAATTTACCCCAGCACCATCCCCTTCCAGGACCAACCCCATTCAATCCTCTGGAAACAGTTTGGGCCCATATCTGGTTCTCCCTTTCCTCTTTATCTCCAACCCCAGGAAGATAGTAATGTTTCTGTACCCATACCTGCCTGCATTGTAACTAGGGACACAATCCCTCTCCAAGGAGAGATTTGCCTGCCTCCAGGCTACCTTTGCTATGGCAACTGCTTGAGTCCTTGTCTGATGCACAATGTATGGGGTTGGATATATTCAACATTGCTCAATCTCAGTTACTATAGCTCCATTGCCACACAGACCCATGATCTCTACAGGGTTTTGGGGTGATTAAAAGGAATTCATGTTTTCTTTTTCACCAATGGAAAAGCTGTTTGTATACAAGCTAATTTCCCCCTTTCTCATTTGTTTGCTTCGTAATCATTTGGAGTCCTGAAGTGGTATTGAACTCTTCATGGGGCACCAAAATTGCTAGCTATAGATGCCCTCCTCCCCAATATAGAAAGCAGAGTGCTAAAGAAAAAAAATCAGTGCAGAAGCGATCCATTTTTGTCCACCATTAACTTCGCACCACTTATAGTCACTTCTACATTAAACAAAACAAGTATGGCTAATAAACAGAGATACTGACTCCTGTGGTTCTGTTTCAGATGCGGATGATTGCATCAAGTGCCCAGAAGATCAGTATCCCAACAGGAACAAAGATCAGTGTATCCCCAAAGTTGTAACTTTCCTATCCTACCAAGAGCCCTTGGGGATAGTTTTAGTGTCCGTTGCTATCTTCTTTGTTGTGATAACAAGTATGACGATACAGATATTTGTGACCAACTGGGACACTCCCATCGTCAAAGCCAACAATCGGATCCTCACCTGTGTTCTTCTCATGTCCATCCTGCTTTGCTACCTTTCTTCCCTGCTACTCATTGGCAAGCCTGGAAAGGTATCCTGCCTTCTCCACCAATCAGCTTTTGGCATAATTTTCTCTGTTGCTGTTTCCTGCTTGTTTGCCAAAACAATCACTGTCGTCTTGGCCTTCATGGCAACACAGCCTGGGAACACAATGAGGAAATGGTTAAAGAAAAACATTGCCAACTCCATTGTCCTCTCCTGCTCCCTCATTCAAGTGGGTATATGCCTTGTATGGCTGTTGATTTCTCCACCTTTCCCAGATGTTGATATGCACTCACAGGCTGGGCAAATCATAATGAAATGCAATGAAGGCTCTGTTACCATGTTCTACAGTGTCCTGGGCTACATTGGCTTTTTGGCCACTATCAGCTTCACTATAGCTTTCCCAGCCAGAAAACTGCCAGACACTTTCAATGAAGCCAAATTCATCACCTTCAGCATGCTGATATTTTGCAGTGTTTGGATCTCCTTTATTCCGGCTTACCTGAGCACCAAGGGGAAAATGATGGTTGCTGTGGAAGTGTTTGCCATCTTGGCCTCCAATACTGGAATCCTGATTTGCATCTTTTTTCCCAAATGTTACACTATCATTCTAAGGCCTGACCTCAACTCCCGGAAGCTGCTTATAGAGAAAAAGGATTACTAACTTTGGGATAAAAATCAGCTAACATTTTAGAATCCATGATCCATTTCCTCCTCTAACATTTAAGTGCTTTTTTATTGAGAGGAAAGAGCAGGCCAGTCATTTCAAAAGTGATGTTAATTGATTTAGTCCCTCTTCATCAGAAAAGTTCTTGAAAGGTCTCAAAACTAGGAGCTTTGCAAGTCACAGCATCTCAAGGCAAAAGCAGCTTTCTCCCAAGCCATAGGGATTCACAACCACAGTCCAGGTGTGTGCATGTGTGTCAGAAACCACAAACATACATACATTTATAACAGAAATGACGCACAGACTTACACCCCACACTTCCAGTTTGAAGGACCAGATAATAAGTGATGCAAAAGACCACCTGAGACCCTAGATAGCCATTGCCTGTCCGAGCTGATGATATTGGCTTTGATGCACCGAGGGTCTGATTCAGTATGAGGCAGCTTCATGTGTCCACATTAATTAATGATAACATGGCAGTGTGTGTAGTATAACCAGGAGATCCAAAGTTTGTCATGCAACCTGAAACTCTAGCTCTTTTTGTGGTGAGCTAGGTTTATTTTGAAGGGGCTGAGAGAACTGTGACTGACCCAAGGTCACCCAGCTAGCTTCAAGTGGAGGAGTGGGGAATCGAACCTAGTTCGCCAGATTAAAGTCCACCACTCTTAACCACTAGACCAACTTGGCTCTCGCATGTGTCCATGTATTTAATTATAACACTACTAATAATATTACAATTAACCAAATAGTTAATCGTTATGCTTCTTGCTTATGCTGCCCTTGTTCTTCTTTCTTCCACTTCTTGGGCTTTTTGAAAACAAACTACTGTAGTTTTAACCTTCCTCCAAGGAGCTTAGGGAAGTACACACCACTTCCCCATCTTCCGTTTTGCACAACATGAAGATAAGAGACTCCAGTGCACGGCCTAAATTAGTATTGTATTATTGGCCATTGTGCGCAGTTCTTAAATTTAGTGCAGGTTACTTCTGGAAGGCACGCTGTGACAACTGTCAGCATCTGGGCAAACCCACTCTGCCTCCAACTCACATTATTTATCCTCGCCAGCACACAAAGCTGTTCTGAGATTTGTCAGGCGTCATCATTATCCTTGTGTTACAGGTCCTGTTTTTCTGGAATGTACTCCCTCGCATCCCTTTGCCTGTGTCAAATGTACTTATTTTTGATACTCCATTAATTCTTTCTTGTTTGCCTAGTTTCAGAGAGTACCTGTGTTGGTCTGCAGTAGAACAGTTAGATTCAAGTCTATTAGCACCTTAGAGGCCAACAGAGTTTCAGGGTATAAGCTTTCAAGAGTCAAAACTCCCTTCTTTAGATAGGACCAAATATATAGAAATTGCAGGTATAACAGTTTTATCTGATTTAGTAGGCTAAGATTTTATGTCTGTGTACCGTGCTCTCCTTTGCTCTTTGGATCTTTTATTGCCTGCTTGGCCTTATACAGTTTTTAGTTTGATTTTAATGCCACTGGAAGGCACAATGATGCTGAGAGCTGTTTTGGGTCCCCCTGGAGGAGGCGAGAATGGTGTAAGACTAATAGCTATTTATATAGATCATTGGGTTTTTTGTTGCTCTTTTCTGCTTGAATGTATTTTATTCACTGTAAACTTCCTTGAGAACTCTGTTTGAAGTAGGGTATCAAAATATATTAAAAAAAACTAAATGAATAAAAAGAATCTGATTGTAAGAATGGATCTGACAAGACTCATGCTGCTTCTTTGCTGTATTTTATCAATGTGTGTGCACATGTTTAAAGATATCAGTGGTGGAATGGATGGAAATGAACAAAAGGAAGCTGCAGTAAACTGTAAATGTTCCAATTCTAGAATTAAATTCAGAAATTTTCCCAGTAAAACTGGCTGCAGTCACACGGAGCATTAGCCACGCTGCAGAGACGGAAGATAGGCGGATTTTCCGGGCGCGATCTCACCGCCACATCTGGGAAGCGTAGAGCTCCCGTGGCTCACCCGGGGCTTCCCTCTGAAGATGAGGGGTAAAAAACTAGTACCTCGGAGGTACCAGTTTCCTGAAACCGCGGTGGTAGTTCTGGCACCCGCCCATGTCCCCTCGCATAAAGGCTTCCCCCCCCCCAAGTCTCCACGGATGCGCACAAGCACCCAACAGAGCATGCACACACTTC